AAACTTGGGAGCAAATTCATACTGAAAAAAGTCGGGGGGAAAGGGATAACAAAAACAAACAAACAAACAAATCCCTCTTTTTCCCGGGTTCTTTTTACCCGGAGAACGGTGAGTGAGTGTAATTTACTATGTATATTTCAGTAACAGGATAATGATTCAATTCACCAAATATTTACCGAGCGTCCACTGCGCGGGCACCGAGAGGGTGTGTGGCCCGGCCTTGGAACTCCTCTGTTGAGAGAGTGAGCAGCCAGACCAGGGGCCGGCTATCCACCAGCAGCACCCACCTTCACCCAAGCCCTAGTGCAGACTCGTCTCAGGCCCCAGGAGCCGGAGCGCTGCAGGACCCTGCGCCTTTAAGAGTGCCTGGCTAGGGGCCAGCGCGCACCCAGGCGCTGGGAGCTGGGTCGCGTTATTAGCATTATTAGCCGTCACTGGGTGAGCTCCGGTTCTTCACAGTGGTATTGGGGGGTGGCGGAGGTTCTCTTCCTCCCCTCCTGGAGCACGCACCCCAGCCCCCTGAGCGGCGTCTGTCTTCTCCTTTGGAGACATTTGGGCCTCTCTTCCTTGAGAGAGCGGGTGGGGGGCAGTTTGTGAACTCGTGTTTGTTTTAATTGTCAGTTGTATGTTAAAGCCGAGTCACACACTCGGAAGGTCACCGAGAGTTCACTTTTACGAAAAGTTAACTTTTCTTCTTGCATTGTAACTTGCTGTTTTCCAAACAGCTTTCCCTCTTGTGTCGTTTATGTCCATTTTTCTTGAGCTCCCTCAAGCTCTTTTTCCTAAACAATAATGTTAAGATTGAGAGGTTTCCCAAAAGCACACAAAACAGGCCTTTCCCCAAAATAAAATAAGTAAAAATAAAAACAAAAGCCCAACAAAAAAGAGCTGGGGGCTCTGCGGTCCAGTCTTACTCTCCAATCCTTGTCTGGCACAGTCGTGCACCCCCCCACACCCCCCGCCCCCCGCCGCCTTTGCCGCCCTCTCTAAGCGCGAACACCTCGCCATTTGCTGCGCAGGAACGCACCTTCGCAGTGTCTGCCTTCTTGCAAACATTCGCGCATTGAAAGCTAAAAGAGCCCGATGCGGAGTTTGGTATCCAGACAGGCACAGCCAGGGGAGTTTCTAGGGGCTCTGCTGAGAACTCACAGCGACGGAAGGGCAGTTAAATATAAGTTTGTGTGCGCGTGAGGACTCGTGCCCTAAGGGGGGAGGGCTGCAAAGGATCAGTTTTTCTGGGATTTTAGGCAAACTAGCATTTTAGGCCCACCCCTTCTCCCCGAAAGGAGGACCCTCCCCAAACCCGACCTGGGAGTCCTCGCCTTCCTGCTTCACTGGTGGTTGCGCCCCGGTGCACAAGGGGTTAGGAAGACTGGCGCAGGGCTTGGTTCTAGTCTGGATGCTTATTCTTCCCCTGCTGTGCGGTGCCGGCTGCCCCCTGTTGGACGCCTTGAGGTAGGACTCCTCCGAGTCTCCATTCCTTGGGTCGGCCCGCTGCTGTGTCTCCCTCCCTTCTCTTAAGTTCCTCCTTCCCTCCCCACCACCAGGCCCCTTAGAGGTCCCCAGAGGACATGCTGCACAGCGCAGAAGGGGCCATGGATTCGACTCAACAAATGCGATTCAGGCGATTGGGCGGAGGGTTGGTACCTTTTCTCCTTTGCTTAGGAACCTGAGAATCCACCCGGAAGGACTTGTGTGTATCCCCTGCTTTCACCACTAGTGTTGTTTCTCTTCTCTGGACCTCAGTGTGTTCATCTATTAAAAAGTGGGCGTTGAAGTCCCCTTTAGATTTTTCTATCTTCATCCACTCTGCTCTACCTCAGAATAGAATTGAGCCTGTGTGGGACGTTAAGCATCTAGCTTGAAGAAGACGACTCAAGTGATTTGGGGTAAGAAGAGGGAGGAGAGATGCCACTGAGTTTGAAGACCTTCAAGAAAGGAACAGAAGTGCATCAGGCCATCATTCTTCCCTGGGAGCATTCCTGTTCCTGGACATGCCACAGTAAGGGGGCAGACTGCTTTCCATTACATTGAGTGGGGCTTAGAAAGCTCCCAGCTTGCCCTTTCTTTTCCGATAACTTACCCCTCCCATCTGGTTTCAAGGCCGGATCCCACTGGCATTGGGTGGACACAGAGCCCCTGTACCTAGAGGAGAGGCGCAGAGAATGCCAGCTCCTTTGTCTGCCTCTCCAAAGTGACCTCCCCATGGCCTTGGCCTAGTCCAGAGCATCCTTCACTGTCTCCTGGCACCAGGGCTGGGAATTTACAACTGCAAAGAAGTTTTCTCCCCTCGAAGTGTCTCCGACTTCTCTATTACCAAAAGCAGAGATTTCTTCGTGGAGTTACTCATTCTTCTTTTCCACAAAGCCCAGGCCAAACTCACTTCTTTCATCTTATTAGCGGTCCCTTTTTTATTCCATTCCCCCAGGCTTGGGAGGCCCTGGGTGAGCAGAATCTAGTAGTAATAGGAGTCGCCCAGGAATGAAGGGTCTTCTCCCCTGACCCTTGCAGCTTTTCTATTTAGGGGCCGCCTGGAAGAAGCAGGCGTTGTGCGTTTTGTGCGCACTTTGTGAACTTCCTTACTTCCCCTGAAACTCCCCAGTCCTCTGACCACAGTCTCTCACCAGCTAGTTGACCGGAAGCACCTTGAATACCTTTAGTCCAGTGTAAGACACTAAGGAGCAACTGGGCTGGGAGGAAGATGCGAAAAAGCCCAACCCCCCACTCCCGCGTCCTTCCCTTGGGCTTGTACCTCTCTGATGTCTCCTTCTCCCTACGCTGGGAACAAATTCGGCTTCGTTGAGCCCCCAGAGTGTGAGAAAACACTTATAGCCAGTTCTTTGGGACACTCACTCACCTTATGATTTGAACTTTAGTTTTACCACCGGTGTAAGAGTTTAGCTTTCATTTCGTACTGTGTTTTCGGATCTCTTGGTAAAGAGAGAGGGATGTTTTCCCCCCACAGCGTAGGTATCTTTCAATTTTTATTAGTTCATTGTGGATTCTTGAAGTTTTCAGATTTATAGGGCGTCGGGGAGGGGGCGGTTTGCGTAGACGATGGAGGAGGAAAGAAGGTCTACGGGTTACTGGGCAATGCGCTTCTGGTTAAGTGCAGATGCTTCTCCGGGAACGCTCCATCTCCTTTGGGGCACTCTTGTCTCTTCCCAGTCTAGAGAAAGGGTGCCCTGAGTTGTGAAGACCAGATGGCCTCTCTGCCACTTGGCCCTGACTCTGGGAACGAGTGGACTCGGCTTGGAGGCACTGGGCCGGGAGGGGTTCGGTTTGTGTGGCTTCGCCTCTAACAAAGAGATCCGCTGTAATCCGCCGAATCTGTTATCAATTTCTTCACTGCCCGAGCCCCGCCCCGCGCGCCCCGCCTGTCGGGAAGCTAGAAAAGTGCGCGCGGCCCGCAGCGATCCCGCCCGCCGATCAGGGAAGCGTGCCGGTGTGTGCGTGTGCACGCCTGAGTGTGAATGAGTGTGCACGAGTGTGTCCGTGTCCTCGCGGCCTCGGCCACCTTTGGGGAGAACAGACTCTGCAGCCTGGGCCTAGTGGAGAGGCAGACCTAGCAGCCCACCCCCTTCTGGGGAGGAAACTTGACACTTGGGGCGGGGGTGGGGAGGGAAACCGAGCCTTCGCTCACCGAAACTGGGGAAACCCCAGGTTTCTGCTCTCCACGATGAGCCCCTCATTTTGCAGCATTTTGGGGACTTGTGGGCCGCAGGCTCTGCGCTCCAGTTAGGAGGAACCCGGGACCACATAAGCATCTCCTTTCAGAGAAACCCCAAGGTGCCCCGGCCAAAGGAAGCCGTAAGAGGCAGCTCGCAGGGCAAAGCCTTGGCTTTTTCCTCTTTCCACGGTCACCACTGTCCCCTTAATCCCTTCCACTAAGTAGGTTCCAGCCTGGGTCCTTCTCCTGGTCGCCTGGTGGAGGATCGCCTTTCTTTTACTGAGAAAGGGACTTCCACGGGAACTGCGGGCGGCGCAGCGCGGGTGGGTTACCGGGTAGAAAGGGGGATTTGGGAGACCCGCTCCGCTCCTCCCACTCGCTCCCGCCGCTGCCTCGCTCGGCGGCCGCCTACAGGTGGAGAAGTCACCAGTGGGGAGCAGCGGCGGCGGCAGCTCCCGACCCCACCGGTTCTCCACGACGTGGAACTTCGCGGCTGGGGGGCCCGCTGCACCCTCCACTCCAGGGGCTCGGCCTTGGCGGGGGAGCAAGCGCCTGGCCAGCCCTGATGGGGACTTGCCAGCACTAGACTTGGCCTCGCCCTGCACCCCTACTTTTCGGGACAGTTCTAATAGAACCTACATAGGGCTGGAGAAACACGGATGAAGGGCAGGGTGACAGTTTCCCAAGGCCAAATTCACTGTGCTCTGACGGCGAAGTACCCGACACCCCCACCCTCCCATCTCCCACCCCCGACCCCTTGGCTCCTCTTCCTTGGCAACCACCACCAGACACAGGGTGGAGGAGGACGAGTGAAAACTCCAACTTTGTGGGGTGTGTGTGCCGGTTGGGGCCAGGGAAGGGATCCGCTCTGAGGACAGCGGGGCCTAGGGCCCCCTTCCCTTTTCTGGGATGCCTTCCCTTCCTGGGGTACACCCAGCCCGAGACCTCGGGCAGGGGAGGGGACACTGTCTTCCCGTTTCTTTTGTTGGGAGAGTCGACCTCGCTCCTTGTTATCCCCGGCGCCCCCCGTCTCCTACACCCCGCCCCATTCTGGCTGGAGAGCGTCCTGGGTAGGAAACCTGGACTGCCTTTCCCCATCTGGAAGTGGCTTCCCCCAAATCGGCCCGTAAACTGATTATGAAACATACGATGTTAATTCGGAGCCGCATTTCCCAGCTGGGCTCTCCTCGCTCGCTGGTCCCTGGGGCCTCGCCCCCCACCCCCTGCCCTTCCCTCCCGCGTCCTGCCCCCACCCCCCACCCCGCGCCGGCCACCCCGCCTCCTCCGCAGCCGCCGGCGCGCTCCACTCGCCTTCCGCGCTCCTCTTGCCCATGGAATTAATTCAGGCTCCACTTGTTGCTCGGCCCAGGTCGGGGAGAGGACGAGGGTGGCGCGGGTGCCCGCTTCCCGTGGAGGGACCGAGTGCAGCGCGCACTGGAGGGGAGCGAGGGGGTGCGGGACGCGAGCGAGCAGGAAGGAGGCAGCGCCTGGCACCGGGGCTTTGACTCAACAGCATTGAGACATGTTTGTAATCGCTGGCGTGCCCGGCGCTCAGGATCCCAGCGAAATCAGATTTCCTGGTGAGGTTGCGTGGGTGGATTAATTTGGAAAAAGCAACTGCCTATATCTTGCCATCAGAAAACTCACGGAGAAGCGCAGTCAATCAACAGTAAACTTAAGAGACCCGGATGCTTCCGTTGTTTAAACTTGTATCCCTGAAAATTATCTGAGAGGCAATAAACATCTGCTCCTTTCTTCCCTCTCCAGAAGTCGATTGGAATATTAAGCCCAGGAGTTGCTTTGGGAATGGCGGGCAGTGCAATGTCGTCCAAGTTCTTTCTAATGGCTTTGGCCATCTTTTTCTCCGTCGCCCAGGTTGTAATAGAAGCCAATTCCTGGTGGTAAGTCCACTCTTATGTGCATATTCATGTTCTTCCTATTTTTTCTTTTTAAACCAAAAACTCGCTTGTATGATGCTGGAATGTTTAAAGCAGAATAGTGAGTACAGGGCACATTTATCATATATATATGCGTGTATGTGGATATATAGAGAGATAGCTCTATAAGAATTTTATTTTGCTCATATTGTAATGCTTCTCTTCAGCTCCATAGGGAATTGAAACCTATAAATCTAGGCCTTTTTCTGTGAGGCCCTTGTTCAGAATGTGCTTGTAGTAACATCATACAGTCAAAAGAGAACAAATTCACATTGCAGGTCATTGTAAACCTATCTGCAAAATTTACTTTTTGCCACTACTGGGTAGTAAAAGTGAATTTCAACTTTTATTTTTCTGTCACTTGAGGTTATTAATCTACAGGGTCTCAAGTAGGCTGAGTTCAAGGAACACAGCTAAACTCCAAGTGGGCAAGTATTTGGAGTTGAAATTTGATCAAAGAAAGGTTAACATGAAGTAGTCTAATGTCCCTAAATGAGAGTTTCTATTTGCTAAGGGCTTTTTAGATAGACTGTAATATATCCGAAGGATTATTTTTGACGGCGTTCTGGCTATTTTTGCCCAGTAAATGAACAGCTTCTCCACCCCTCCTCCCCTTGACTGTCAAATGTACTTCTGTTCACTGGATGCCCTGTCTTGGGTCTTATAATCGCATAAGGAGCCCTTTTACAATGGCCAGAATCACGAAGCATTTTCTCCAGTCAATATCTATTTGTCCTTCTGTTCTTACATCAATCAAAAGTAACTGCTGTCTTCCACCCATGGTTCCTTGTGTCTGCCTTGGACATTTGCATGTTTTCAAGGCAGATCAGTCCAGTTTATGGGACAAAGTGAGTCACTTTCTCTAACACCAGAGGCCCATCCCTGAAACTCCTCTTCTCTCTCTGAGTGAATTTCAGAATGACTGGTTCAGGTACATGGCAGCAAGAGAGAGAGAGGGAAAGTTCTTAACAAGAAGCCAGATGGTGGGATGGGGACCATACAATACCTCCGTTTTCTAAGTGGAGTTTAAACAGAGGAGTTTTATGAAACCCTTCTCATACTTTGTCATGAGGACAAGCAGGACAGAGAAAGCATCTGTGTGTGCTTATAGCCATGGTCCTGCTGACAGGCATTCAGGGGGCCCACCTCAAGAGTTCACGTAAATCTTGAATGCACATCTCCCCCCCCTTTCCAGGTCGCTAGGTATGAATAACCCTGTTCAGATGCCAGAAGTATATATCATAGGAGCGCAGCCTCTTTGCAGCCAGCTGGCAGGACTTTCTCAAGGACAGAAGAAGCTGTGCCACTTGTATCAGGACCACATGCAGTACATTGGGGAAGGCGCGAAGACTGGCATCAAAGAATGCCAGTATCAATTCCGACATCGAAGATGGAACTGCAGCACCGTGGATAACACCTCTGTTTTTGGCAGGGTTATGCAAATAGGTAGGAAACCATTTAACATAGAAATTACTTGTGTTTGTATGTGAACATGTATGTACACATGTACATGCACATAAGTACTTTTCTTTAAGAAAACTTCTCCAGTGTTTACTTACATGCTTGGTTTTGAAGGTACTTACCAACTTGGGTAATGGATTTGGGGATTTTTGTCATTTTAGCTCTTGGTGTTAATTCTGATTTCCACACCTGCTTATATATTTCGGTGTTAAACAAGACCTCTAACATCAATACAACTGGACCACAGACACTTAACATATTTTTTTCCTGAATTCTTACTTTTTGTGAAAAAATAATTTTGTTTTGGATAGCAACAAAATACTTCTTGTGGCATTTCAGAAGTAGCTGAGTCATTTATCTTCTTTTCTAAAACTTCAGAACTCTTCTGACTCTTCCAGTTTCTTAAACTGTAATTCAAATGGTCTCAGCATCAAGCTGAAAATGGTCATCTTTCAGAATGCTGGATATGTGAGAAGGGGAAAGAGGTTTTCATTTTTCCCATGCAGACATTGTGAGATGTATATATATATATATATATACACATACACACACACATACATATCTATCTATCTATCTATCTATCTATCTATCTATCTTCAAAGTTATTTATTTAGCTCCAGAAGGAATTTAATTAGGTGTTATCTAATTTGCACCTCTGACTTTGGCAATTTATCCAAAAGAACATGGTAGGAATTTCAAGCTACAAACTTTAAAAAAGTTGTTTGGTGGTTTTTGCTTTTGTTTTCGTCCCCCCTCCACCCCGGCCTTTCTTTTCCTAATATATCACTCACAGCTCAATTCTTGGTTGTAAATACATTTTGAAGTTGCTGTTTGTTTCAGAGAAGTGAGAGCATTAGAAAAGGGATAAAGGCAATCATTTTGAAAAATGAGTTTGCCTCTGGTTTGCCTTAATGGCATAGGATACGGTACTATTTGATAGATGTGGCTGTGTGTGTTTCCTAGTGTGAATATTTTTGGTCTCTTTCCTTTTATGCAAACAAGCTCTGATAATTACTATGACTGCTGTGACTTCTAAAATAAGCAATTCATCAAAGCAATTAACTGTTTATAATGACTGCAGATAAAAAGTTGGCTCAATATCCATCACGGATGGAGAAAATGCCTTTTTTTTTTTAAGGGAAAAAAAATCCTGAAAAGTGCATTCATTGAGGACAAAAAAAGAGTTGTCAGTGGTTGTCTGAACCAAGTGGCTTCATAAACTAAAATAATACAAGACTGGAAGCTGTTTTTCTAATTGAATGGGAAAATAGGCTCTAGCTTCAGCCTGGGAGGTTCCTAGGCCTTTGTCCTTTCTGTTAATGATTAAAATGTGCTAATGTATATTCTGGGGTCTGAATCTAGGAGTTGAGCTTCAGAAGCAGGAGTTTAACTCGGGGTGTGATAGAGACTTCTACCATAGTCTTGCATTTTGATATTGTGAGTAAACAAAAAGCTTTTTCAGTTCTGTCAGAACATTAAGTTGTCAGTTTGACCCCCTTCAGCCTTACCTGATGGCATTACTTTAAACTACCTTCCTTTCCAACTCTGGGATGCCCTTTTTCACATGCATGTGAGTTAGCAAAAGTCATCCACCCCAATGGTAACTAGGAGAGAAAGCAGCAATTGGGACTGTTTTTCTATGCAGTCACTCCAGCACAGCTTTGATTTAAGATCCTCTTCTTCGTACATTCGCCTGTTTGGGGCCAAAGCGTTTGGAATAAGCTATCATTTGCTAAGTGAATTTGAGTCCTGCTGGAGATTTATTTAAAATGTGGTCCAAGATTCAAAGGGCTTGCCTCCTCGGGGAACAAGCAGAACCCTGTGTGAAGAGGCCTAAATTTAATTGTCCCTCACAAGTAAACTCTTGGGTCCTCAGCTGTGCTGTCCTACTGTCTGGGTTCATGGGAAGTGGGTGGGAGGTGTGCCTCCTGAAGGCTTCCAAAGAAGCTTCCAGATCTTAGAGTCAAGTCAGCTGATGCCTTGGGAAGATGAGAACACACGCTGCACCCTCCTTCCCAGGGGCTCCAGGCATCCCAGAGCTGAAAACTGCTGCTGGGTGCCTGGTGGTGGGACACCAGTGAGCCTTCCTCTCTTTGATACATTAAAAAAAAAAACAACCCACAGAGAGGAGGAAAAGCCAGAATCGATCTTCATAGAAGGGAAGCATGGGTCTAATCCGAACAGTGGGAGAATTCTCGTCACTCCTCTATTTCCACTTTGGAGCGTGTTTGAAGAGAATTAGCTCAGGGAACATTCATGTCACGTCCTTTGACGCTGAAAGGTGTATGTGCACCCACCCAAAAAAGCGCTTGGTTCACTAGGGACATTGAAAATAATTACTGTCTGCACAGATCTGACTCTGTAATGGGGCCAGTGTCTGAGAAACTCAGGCTCATGCGGCCCAGCTCATTTTTTCTGAAGTGCTCATTGCCTGGGAGGCACTGTGCACAATTGCTGCTTGAAGGGCCCGCTCGTCCTTCATTCTGGAAACTTCCTCATTTTTCATCATGCTCTACCCTTTCCTTCCAGCTTTTGTCCCCTCTCGTCTTTGTTTCCATGCCGAGAAAAGAGAAAGTGATAAAGGCATCGTTTTTTAAAGACTGTGTGAGGACCCAACTTAGCTGTAGATTCTGTTGTAGAAGGAAACTTAACTGAATTAGTTATATTCCAGCCAGGGTTGCTGTGTACAGAGGCTGTGATTCGAAGAGTGCTTTTCAAACTGACATTTATCCTGCTGTAACCAGTTAGTCTAGAGATTTCTAACAGGTTTGCATTCTGGAGAGAATAAAAAGAAAAAAAGGAAATGCTCAAGAAAGACTTATGGAAAAAGCAACATTATTGTGTTTTATATAAAAGCCCTCTTATGCTCTGTGGACTCAAAGGAGAGTTTCTTATTTTTCACTATCCCCAAAGGTTCATTTTATCTCCTTTTCCTCCAGCTACAGCCTCTTCGTTCGGCAGGCCTCCCAGCCAGGGCCACGGCATTTTCTGTATTATCAGTGTTAATCCTCAAATAACTCCCAAGAATCTGTCTGCTTTCCTCATTTCTTTCCACTCCCCCGACTTTCTCTGCCTCTCTAATTCAAGCTAGATAGATGTTAACGCCCCACAGGAACTTTCTCCAGCCTCTTGCCAACCACCAACACACTTCCCCAAGTTGTTCTTTTTTAAAATGTGAGAGGGTGGATCTGTGGTCACTTGGAACCATGGCCATCCCTGGAAGTGGGGACTCACAAGTGGCTGCAGACTGAAGCACGAGCCCAAGAAGAGGCGTCCTGCTGGACACAGACATGGCATTGCCAACCTCCTGCAGAGAGACCCTCTGGTTAGAGCTGAGCCCATAAACAGTCTGCTGTCTCCTTCTTTCCCCCAATTCCCCCAAAATTGTATTGTTCCCAAACTGTTGAAGTAAGAGTCAAAGACAGAGATTCAGCAACTGGATGTCAGTGCCAGAATAACTTCTTCCCAGGCATCCAGTACAACACGATTATTTTATTTTTGAGCAACATGATGCCCCCAGCCTTACCGCCAGTCCCAACTTTTGCTTCTGTGATGTTAACTCTTTCCCTCTCATATACACCTTGGATGTTTAAGTCGCTTCTTGCTAGGTATGAAATATCTCCACATTACCCCAGAGTCTATCCAGTCAAGCGTCTATAGGAAGCTCTGACTGCTTAATCGTAAGGAGTTGCACTGACAGTCCATGCAGTTCAAATCCAGCAGCTGCTCCTAAGGAGAAGGATGGGAAATCTTCTCCCATGTGATTTACTGCCCTTGAAAACCTGATGGAGACTAAGCAACGAATGACTAAGAACGAATGTAAAGCAGCAACTGCTTTACAGAGAGGTTCTCTACAAATCTGAGGGAAGGAGAAAAGCATTCCTTTTTTCTTTTCTTTTGGGTTTTAAGGGTTCCCCCCTTCCCTTTTTGCTGTCATTCTAACACTTGAGGCAAAGGCTGTCGCAGATTGCGGAAGTGGTGTTAAAGAGCAACAGACTCTTTTAAAAGTGTGTTTTAAGACGTTTTTGTTCTTGAAAGGAGGAGTATCAGGCCAGGCAACTTGGTAGTGAAGAAGAGGCAAGTTCTCTTTACAATTCTCTAGGATCCATTGTCCAAGTGTCCTCCTAAGAGTCTTGTGTGGTGACAGACTTGGTGCTGCATAATGGAAAGGGGAGGAGAGGTCCTAACTGCCAACATGGATGAGGAGGCGAGGCTAAAGCTAGGGTGGCCCAAACTTGTGTGGCTGTGGCCAGGCAGCGTCTGGATGAGACACCAGACCTGAGACTTCCCCAAGCTCCCAGCCTCCCAACTTCTGTGGTTCTGTCCCTGTGTAGAATTCAGAATTAAATAATACCCAGCATTAAAATAAGGGTAAGGGAGGTCACCCAAATTCTGAGTTGTCTCTCAGTGACGCCTTTTTGTGTTTTTTTTGGTTGTTGTTGTTGGTGGTTTTTTTTGTTTGTTTGTTTGTTTTAAGAGAAGCAGACTTTTTCACATGCCAGGGCTCTGACATGTCAAAGTAAAGCTACCAGAGCTCTCCCTTTCCTTTTGTGTTGCTCCTGTGTGGGGTTTTTTGGGTCTCTTTGGTTCCTGTCAAGGTGGGTCCGAGGGGCTGGGTGAGTAAGAGTTCTGGAGAAGACAGCATGTGGCATGGAGTAGGGGCTTCTTCCTGCGCTTCACCTGTCAAGGGACTGGGTGCAGCAGAGTTACTCATGTCCCCTTGCCATCCTCAGGGCCCGGGGCATGTACAGGGAATTTCCTTGTGGCCAAAGGGTTCCTGGGGCACTTTGTGCTAGAGGGTTATGCCCAATCCCTGCCCCCTTCCCCAGGAGGGCATGGTTTGCTGTGTATTTGGGGGGGGCTCTCTCGACCCCTCCCAGGAGAGTTCATCCCGAGGGCCCCAAGCTGGCGGCGCGTGGGTGGGTGACCCTGCCTCCCAGGTGACCCTGCCTCCTCGCCCGCAGGCAGCCGCGAGACGGCCTTCACCTACGCCGTGAGCGCCGCGGGTGTGGTGAATGCCATGAGCCGGGCGTGCCGCGAGGGCGAGCTGTCCACCTGCGGCTGCAGCCGCGCCGCGCGTCCCAAGGACCTGCCCCGGGACTGGCTGTGGGGCGGCTGCGGCGACAACATCGACTACGGCTACCGCTTCGCCAAGGAGTTCGTGGACGCGCGCGAGCGGGAGCGCATCCACGCCAAGGGCTCCTATGAGAGCGCGCGCATCCTCATGAACCTGCACAACAATGAGGCCGGCCGCAGGGTGAGTGCCCCCCGCAGGCTGCCCTGTTCAGACCTGCAGACCCAAGCCTTGCATGTCCTGGGACCTCCCTGCCCTCCCCCATCCTCTGTCCTCTGCCTCTCTCTTCTTTCTGCCACCTTTTTACCTTCATCTCTTTTCCTCTCTTCCTCCTTCACTGTCTCTCTCTCCCAGCCTTTCATCTCTCCTTCTCCCACCCACCCGTAAGCCTCCTAGGAGAAGGTCCACACCCACGAAGCCAGTCATCTCCCCAGCGTGGCCCCCTCTTGCAGAGGTGCCCAGAAGTTACCTGAGAGGGGACATCTTCTCCTGCCTTTTAATGTCTTCCCTGTGCAAATGGGCAACAAGCTCAGAAAGAAAAGTACTAACTATATTCTGCCTACACCATGGGACATGTATGTGACTCAGTTTAAATCTCAGAGAAGGGGTTATTTATTCTAGTTGGTGCCCCGCTTGAGAGAGCCCTCGTTCCTGCTTTCAGAGCTGACATTCCCCCCTCTATTTTCCTCCCTGCTCTCCCTTAAATCATACATACATGCGCTCATTGAACTGAACTGAAGGCATATATATACACACACACTTTTTTTTTTTTTTTTTTTTAAAAAAGAGGACTGTTCTAGGAAAATTCCAGCATTTTTAACAGCATGAAATTTTATAGACCCGACCCTCAGGGCGTCTACAGAGTAATTCTGGAGGGGAAAGAGAATGCAGAAGTACCCAGAGAGAAACATCTTGCAGCCACCATGTACCTCCCATTCCCACCCTTTTCTTCCCTGATGGAGATTTGAAAAATCTTATCCACAATAGTTAAAAACACCCATTTTTTCCCTGCGGTTAAACACGTGGCATTTTATGGCCGCTTTAAAATGAAGGGCTGAAGACTTTTCTTAACTTTGGCAGCATCAGAAACCAGGGCCATTATTTTTTTCACTGAACCCAAGGTAGGTGCCAGGAACTTTTCTGGTTGAAGACTTCACTCTTGAGTATTTGGGGGTGAGGAGAAGGGAAGATAATGACAGAGTGAAACACAGAAAGGCTGCACAGAACCTTAGAATCCTCTGGCCCCCATACCCTCATTTTAAAGATTGGAAAACTAAGGCCTTGAGAACCACATCATGGCCAGGGAAGAAAATGAGTTAATTCAGAGACAAGCCCCAAGCTGCTTTTTTCATTCAACAAGATCCCTCACAGGGAAAGCAGGGCTGATAGTTGAAGGATCATAGGCTTTGGAATTAGAGATCCATGAGACCTCTCGTGACTTAGTGGTAAGGAATTATGCTGCCAGCCCAAAGGTGTGTGGTTCGAATCCCCCAGCTGCTTTTCTGGGGACAGATGGGCAATCTCCTCCTGTTTGAGTTGAAGGAAATTCTGTAGTCTTAATCTGTGACTCCCACCTGACCGTCTATGGGAGGAAAATGAGCCATTTCCTGATGCAATTTACAGCCTCAGGAGTCCATTGTTGATGTTATATGCCATTGAATTGGAAACTACCCATAGCTAACCCTTCAGTGAGTTTTTAAAGAGGCAGTAAATCAACTGTGCAGCTTCTGCAAAGCAAATGTTGGATTTAAACTGTGTGCCTTTGAGATTGCAGTTCAGCTTCTTAGCAGAGCACTGACTTGACCACTGATTTTTTTTTTTTTTTTGAGGTGGAAATCTGAGCCCTGGTGGCTAAGTGTAGAACATATTGGGCTACTAACTGAAAGGCTAGCAGTTCAAATCCAGGAGCTACATTCCCTTTCAGTTAAAAGTAACAGAATTGATTCAATGGCATCAGACTTTATTTATTTCTTTTTCTTTATTCGGTATAAATCTAGCCCTGTCTCTTTAATCTCTGAGCCTCAGTTTCCTCATTTGTTAAATGGTGGTAGCTGCTGCTTGGGGTTGTTGTGAACACTGATTGGGCTCACATGTTAGGTTGAACCCTGGAAATTGTCAGTGTTTTGAGTAGGGTTGACTTGTCTGCCGACGGCTTCCTCTGGTCAGTCTGAGGTCAGCCAGTAGTTTAGTGTCAGCCAGTAGTAAGTACTTGATAAATGGTATCTTAATTACTAAACATTATGAAGCAAAGGGCTGGAGGAGAAGTCCTGGATTATTTTGATAACTCCTGCTAACTTTCTTCTCAGACTTGACGTTAAACATTTGGAGATGCTGGGGGAAGATGCAACTACAGACCTTTTTTTTTTTTTATTGCCAGGCCTTACCTGAGGGGCCAAATAATTGTACTTTGCTCCACTCTGTTAGGAGCCTGGATGGTGTAGCAGTAATGTGTCTCGCTGGTAGCGGAAGGATTGGCAGTTCGAATCCACCAGCTCCTGAGGAGCGTGATGAGTAGTAGTCCTACAACCTTAGAAATCTGAGTCACCACGATTCACAACCAGTTTCACCACAGTGGGTATTCCAGTCCAGAGGAAACTTGAATTCACCTTTTCCAGTGCTTCCCCACTGCCCTGGTACTTGCCATGTGGTTGGGCTCTCACCTTCTGTGACCCCCTTATGGGGTTATCCACCCCTCTCCTCCCACAAGACCTTACTCTCACCGTTAACAGAGACACACTGTTCTGCATGTATGTAAAGATGTGCCTGTCGTCATGGCCCAGACGAGACTCCAGTGCAGAGATGGGACTAACTTTTCTGTAACTCACCCACCCTGTCCACCTTTGGGGCTTTTTTTGCCTTCTCTAAGCAGGAGTGATGTCCACTTCCTAAATAACATGCTTCCAGAAACCTTATGAACTTTGATAAATGTCAGTAGTTGTAGAGGGTCTTCAGGCCTTTTGTTCATAAGGTCACTATGAGTCCTGCTAGACTCGAAAGCAATCAGCAACAACAGTAGAATGTTGTAAGAAGGGACCAGTCCTTGGAGAAGGATATCACATTTGAAAGGTGGGTTGGTGGGGATAGGTATGTCAGAGACAATGAGGTTGGTTCAGGATAGAGCAGGGTTCAGAGCTGTTGTACATAGGGTCGCTATGAGTTGCAAGTGACTTGACAACATATAACAACAACAATAGGGAGAAATTATTGCAGCCTTCTCACCAAGGAGAGAGGTTCAAGAGACTTCCATGTGGCAAGAGGACATTTAGCAGAGGTTGGAAAACATCATTACTGTCATAATTTAAAATATGCACTTTCTAGAAATAGTTGCATGTATGTTACATATACATACATGATCTGGAGGACTCATAAGTGATGAGTTAAGACTGACTCATAGCTGACCTTCCATTGGGTTTCCACAGCTGTAAATCACACAGAAGGAGATTGCTCATTCCTGGAAAAAGCTGCTGGTGGGTTTGAACTACCGCAGAGGCTTGGCCTTTGAATTAGCCTTGCAACTCCTAGGGGACTGTGCTAGCATAGTTGGAGAGTAAATCTCACAGTTCAGTCAGTGAACTGAGCATGGAGCTGGCTGGTGAGGACAGTTTTCCTCCAGGATTATGGGGGGTGAGGTGAGGGCAGTTGAACAACACGCCAGGAAATCATATTATGATCTCCTTAGGGCATTAGCTTTTTTATTTTCCTCAAAGGAGAACAAAGGTTAAATACATTTACAAAACCTTTCCTCAGACTAGAGGAGTGCCCAAAACTCTTTATGTTAAAGAAAGTATACTTTGGCCCCTCTCTTAAGAAGCACCTGTGAATCTCGGAGTGAAAGAAGGTGGCTGCTCTGGTGGAAGTGGTCTTCTGTCCAACTCCACACCCCCAACAGGCTCTTACCTGTGTGCCACTGCCACAGCCACCCTAGTTGCATGAGGAGCTGTGGGAAGTCAGATCTGTCAATCAGTCCAAATGGACTGTGGCTCAGAGAACTGAAGAGACCAGGAGGGGGCTCAGGACAAGATTGCCATGATCTTATCATCCAGGGAAAAGACTAAAATTAAAAGAAGATCCATTGTCCTCAAGTTGCTTCCAGCCCATAGGGACCCTAGTAGACAGCGTAGCACTACCCCGTGGTGTTTCTGGGACTTTACATTTTTATAGGAACAGATTGCCTCAACTTTCCGTCAAGTGACAGTTGGTGAGTTCAAACCTCCAGCCCTTTGGTTAGAAGCTGAGCACTTAGCCAGTGTGCCAGCAGGCCTCCTTTGGGAAAGACTAGTGGGTGTTTTTTTTGTTTGTTTGTTTGTTTTTGTCAAGAACCTCCTTGTTCCAGGTATTCTTCATGCATCGCTTTGGACCTCCTGTTCTCAAAAAATGCTGAGAGATTGATAATATGATGATCTCATCTGAGATAGAAAACAGGGTTCAGGGAAGTGAAGCCAGTTGCCTGAATTCAGGGGCAGGAATAGAACCCAGGTCACCCATATTGAGATCCAGAACTCTAACCCATCCCCACTTTGTTACAGCTGTGGGATCTATCCAGCCCTCTGCATCTTCCTGGGAATATAATGTTGCTGGGTGAATTAAATGACAAAGAGTATAAAGGTCCTTAGGATAGTACCTAGCACACAGTAGTTCTTCTAATAGCAAAGGAAAGATTTAAACACAGGTTGCATCTGTGCTGGACCTCCTCTCAGCCCCACAAGTTACCAGCTGTGGGCCTTTGGGCAAATCACAGAGCATAAGCTTGGTGTCCCATTGTGAGGCTTTCAAATCCTGATACACCTACTTCCTTGAGTACAGGTGAATGAATGCCTTGCTCTCTGTAAAATGAGATTATAAGAGCACATGTGTCCTCTAGGCTGGTGGTAGAAATGTATCCAGCTGATTTGGATAACAACAAATTGTGAAAAGTGACTGAGACAAGTATTTAAGGTGTACTAACGGCCGGAGACTAAGGTGTGTCTAATACAGGCCATGGTCTTCACAATCACTTGTTATGCATCAGAGAGTTGGACAATGACCAAGGAGGATAGAAGGAGAATTGATGCCTTTGAGCTGTGGTGCTGGAGAAGAGTATTGAGAGTACCATGGACTGCTAGGAAAACAGATTCATTCGTCCTGGAAACGGTTAAACCGGGTGGCTCCTTGGAGGCAAGGATTCTGAGGCTCCATCTAACATACTTTGGACATGTTGTGAGGAGACACTGGTCCTTGGAGAAGGACATCATGCTTGGTAGGGTGGAGGGACAGCGCAGGTGAGGAAGGCCATCTATGAGGTGGATTGATTCAGTGACTGGGATAATCGGGATGGGAGTGTCAGAGACAGTGCGATTGACACAGGACAGAGCAGAGTTTAGGGCTGTTGTACAGACGGTCATTATGAGTCGCAAGCGACTCGACGACACATAACAACAACAACGGCTGCTGATGTTGGCTCGGCCCAAACAGAAGCAAGTGGAGTGTTTTTTCCCCCTGTTCTCACTCAAGAACTATGTTGTTTTTAATTATTTCTGTGTGATGCTTCTTGTTGTAAAGTGTGGTTGAGTTAGAAATCATATCTGACCCTCCAGCAGGTTTTTAAATCACAAGGGAGATTTGCTTATCTTTCTCCCCTGGAGCAGCTAGTGGATTTGAACCGCCTGTCTTTGAGTTTCACGTCCTTAACTCTAGGCTACCAAAACACCCCTTCTATGTAATAGTGAAAACTAGTGAAATAATTTGTAGGCTTTTAGAAGAAGGCAGCGTAAGATTGCGGGTAGTGGAAACCAAGGAAAAAAATTAACACAGCTTCTAGGTTTGAAGTCTCTGAGTGGTGCAGACACACCTGGCTGGCAACCAGGAGGAGGTTGAAGGTTTGAGTCCACTCTGTGCCTTGGAAGAAAAAGCAATCTACTTCCCCCCAAAATCAGCCAGGGAAGGCTATAAGGATCGTAACTCCACTTTGACACACATGTAAGGTCACCAGGAGTTGGAATTGAGTTGATGGCCACTGATGGACTGGTAATTCAGCTGCCAAGCGTGGCATCATCTAGGTCAAGGAGAGCTGGGTTGGTGCGGCCCATTCCTGCATCTGCTTCCCCCATGGATTTGCACACTGACTGTCCCCTGTCTCCCTGCAGACGGTGTACAACCTGGCCGATGTGGCCTGCAAGTGCCACGGAGTTTCTGGCTCCTGCAGCCTTAAGACGTGCTGGCTGCAGCTGGCGGACTTCCGCAAGGTGGGTGACGCGCTGAAGGAGAAGTATGACAGTGCGGCGGCCATGCGGCTCAACAGCCGGGGCAAGTTGGTGCAGGTCAACAGCCGCTTCAACTCGCCCACCACGCAGGACCTGGTCTACATCGACCCCAGCCCTGACTACTGCGTGCGCAATGAGAGCACCGGCTCCCTGGGAACGCAGGGCCGGCTCTGCAACAAGACGTCAGAGGGCATGGACGGCTGTGAGCTCATGTGCTGCGGCCGTGGCTACGACCAGTTCAAGACGGTGCAGACTGAGCGCTGCCACTGCAAGTTCCACTGGTGCTGCTACGTCAAGTGCAAGAAGTGCACGGAGATCGTGGACCAGTTCGTGTGCAAATAGTGGGCGCCAGGCCGCCTGCCCCACCACCCAGCCCTGCGCCCAGGACCCACTTATTTATAGAAAGTACAGTCATCCTTTTTTTTTGGTTGTTGTTTGTTGGTTTTTGTTTTGTTGTTTTAAAAAATACTGTTTTATTTTTTTCCCCAACAGTTGCAACCAGAATAATTTTTTCCCCTGTCCCCATCTACGAACTCTGTGGTTTGTTATTGATATTATAATTATTGGCAATAATGGAAGGTGGGAAGCAAGAAAAGTATTTATTTTGTGGATCTTTCAGAAGGTAATCCAAGACTTCTTTTGATGGTAAAGACCCTCACTTAGCTGTAGCTAGAGTATGCATCCAGAAAGCAAAGAAAATGCATTTTTTTCCCCTCACATGTGGGGTCTTAGGGGATGGGTAGGATCCAGTTGGAAGAGAGTGGAATAAGTCTATGCACAGTTCAGCTTCAGTTGATCCAAATTAATGAAATGTCTCTGGTCAGTGTTGAAAGGCCCATTGTGGGAAATTGAGGGAAGAAGAATAAGACTCCCTTCTAACAGGGGACTGCTTGCTTTTGATACTCGTCAGTGATGGTTTAAAATTTAAGAGTGTGAACCTCAGATCCCACAATGGAAAAAAGGTTCAGCATCTATTTTATCCTTCAGCAGTTGGGCCCATCCTAATAGTCAGTGAAACTTGCACAGGAGGGAGGCAGATCCCCAGAAGTGACAAAGGGATAGGGCAGTGGGTGGGTGGAAGAAACCCTTCAACCTTCTCTATTCAGTAATTTGAAGCTGTTTTAGAAATTATGTTTTCTTATCAGGAAAGGATCTTCGCCAAAATGATTCTGGGTACTAGACCTCTAGACCTCTTGTTTGAGAGAGGGAAGTTGGCTTGAATAGAAGAGATACTGGCATTTTACTAGGGATGCTTGGCTAATGAATGATTACACTGCAATGACAATTATGACATGAATTCCACCCGCAGTTCTGTAGCCCAGAACACCGATGTAATTGCATACCGCTGAGCACTGCACTAGAGCAGAAAACCTGTTTAAGAATAAAAAGTGAAATCCACCCCTCTGCACTTGACCCCTAGGCTCTCTGACTCCTCGGTGTGCACCCAGATACTGGCCATGTCTCCAGTGGCTGCTCCCCTGAACGCCCGTTGATAGCAGGAGAGGAAAGGAACCCCCAGGAGCTCTGCTCAGGAAGTGGTTCACTTATGGATGGTTTTCCCCAAAAAACTTCCGTTGTGAGGAACAGTCATTTTCTATTTTCCTGATCTTATGGGCTGGTGGAGTTCACAGAGGTGTTACAGCGCAGCGTCTCACTGTTCTGATCCTGTGTTTAGACTATCCACTTGAGCTTTTCCTATTATACTGCAGGTGTACCCTAAAACTGTTCCTACTGTACTTGAACAGTTGCATTTATAAGGGGGGGGAAATGTGGTTTAATGGTGCCTGATATCTCAAAGTCTTTTGTACATAACATATATATAAATATATATATATAAATATACATATATAAATATAAATATAATTATATCTCAGTGCAGCCAGTGATTTAGATTTACAGTTTACTCTAGAGTTATTTCTCTTGCCTGGAACATCACCATCCTTTCTTGCAATCCAGTTGGGATTTTTGCCAAAAGTTTCTGCAGCCTTGAGCTTGTGCCATGGCTCCGATGTGACCGTAACCATATCTTGAGTACCATGAAGCAGTTTTGTCTTTGAGGAATTGTGAAAGTCTGACTCTTTGACGTGTGTGCTAGTTTGAATTTTTTTTTTCTTCCTTGCCCCCAACCCCTTCATCTCTCCAGCCTTTGTCTCTGTATGCTTTCTGGAGAGGGCATTACTTGCTCATCAGAGATGTGGGAATGCAGAAGCTCACGCCTTAGAAGCATCAGTAACGTTGCCTTTTTTTATTAAAAAAAATTATATAAATATATCATTTGGAGCACTGGTGGCCTAGAGGCAGAAAGCTGCACTGCAATCCTGAAGGCACGTGGTTCAAATCTACCAGCTGCTCCGCGGGAGAAGGATGGGCAGTCTCCTCCCATGGGATATTCTGCCTCTGAAAACCCAGCAGATGGTCGGCCAGCTATGGGTTGGTTCTAACTCTATGGTAGAAAACAACAGAGAGTGGAGTGGGGGATAACAGTGCCTAAGAAAAATCCTTGGAGGTATGGTGGTGCAGAGGTTAAGTGCTGGGCTGCTAACCAAAAGGTTAGCCGTTCATAACCCACCAACAGGGGAGAAAGATGGAGCAGTCTGCTTCCTTGAAGATTCCTGGTCTTGGAATCCATGTGGATCTCTGCCCTCCAGGACCAAGAGGACTTGGAATTGGCTTGATGATAGTAGTGGGTTGAGGAATCTAGCCGACTTAATGATATAGCTAATTGGTTGTTTTGGGGTGGGTGGTTGTTTTTTTGTTTTGTTTTGTTTTTGTTTTTGTTTTTTTGGTAGTGGTGGTTTGTTGTGTGTTTTTTTTTTGTTTGTTTTATTTTAAGCAAAGACACCTGTTTCTAAAAATCACCATCAGATGTGCTCCTATGTCAGATTTACATTGCTCTGAGAGTTCAGAAAGTCCTGCATCTCTTACAACCTTTTTGGGCATTGGTGGTTTGATCACATTCCACATCACCTCAACCATCTGTGGCTCATAATTTATTGCACAAGGAAATTTACTTCCCCTCTGTTGCAGTGTGTTGGAAGCATAAGATCTTGACATGAAAAAAAGCACTAATTGGTTTAAAATGTCACTTTTTTGGTTTTTATTATACAAAAACCATGAAGTAGTTTTATTTGCTAAGTCAGATTTCATTTTTTTTTAGTGATTTGTGTTAATGAAGAGAGAGGACTTTAACAGTTCCTAGCCTTTAAAAGAAACTAAATATTTAATGTAAAATATTCTAGTTGTCATTCAGATATTATGTATATCTTCAATGGCTATTCTGTACTTTTAATGTACATATTTCTGTCTTGCCTGATTTGTATATTTCACTGGTTTAAAAAAACACACATTGAAAGGCTTATGCCAAATGGAAGATAGAATATAAAATAAAGTGTTACTTGTATATTGGTAAGTGGTTTCAGTTGTCCTTCAGATAATTCATGGGGAGATTTCCCCATGAGGGATAGTTTAGGGTGAGTACATGTCAAAATAATAGGAGAGTGGAGAATTTTTACCCAAACTAAACTGTATTTGGATGCTTCAAAAGATTTCTATATGTAATGGAACAAAAGGAGAATTCTCTTTCTTATATATGTTCCCCGTAAAGAAATCAAGCAGATGGTTTAAAGCTGGTTGAAGGATTGCTCACATTCTTTTAGCATTATGCATGTAACTTAATTGTTTTAGAGCGCCTTGCTGTTGTAACAGCCCAGAGAAGAAGGGAAAAAGGCATATGATTTTATCCATGACCAGATTTTTGCCTTTTTTTTTAAATGTATCTTTGTGTTTACTGCTGCGACGATTGCACCTCTTTCTGAATTTCTGGGGACCACCTGTGGAGTCTCCATGCCCCTTGAAAACAGTTTTGGAGAAAACACACCTCAGTCCTCAAGAGAGTGGAAACTCCTTGGAGACTAAAGGGTCACTGTGTTTAAGTGCAATTAATAGGGGAAAATGTACACCGCAATATGGCCAGAGCTTCCCAGATTGAAACCTTAACTTCCTTCCCTTTTTGGATAACCTTGTAACATATTGAAGCCTTTCAAGGATGTTAAGAATGTACTATTCTTAAAAAAAACAACAAAACACAACCCAGTAGACCAATGTATAGAGTGTTTAAAATAGCATTTCTGGGCAGATACAAAGCTTGTGGTTCTGGGTCTCACATCTGTTTCAATTTTTTCTCAGTTGTATATTGACCAGGGTTGTTTATTGCAAAAACATCTACTCAATTTAGGAGTGTCAGCATATTCCTCCCCTTTTCTCATCCTACATTGCCTTCAAGATCTCCCCAGTATAGAGAAATAAACCAAAATCCCCCCTCTAGGCAGCAGGAAGGAGAGTCATAATCAAATCAGTCATTAATAATAATAAATCAGTCATTTATGGGCTCCAGAAAAGGGGAGATTACATTTCAGTACAGTTTTTCTGTTCAGTTGTTGGAGGTTTTGATCTCCTAAAACGGGTACTATGTTTTTAGTGGCCTACTCAAACCTTTTTAAAAATACAATTTTGTCAATACCAATTTTATTTTTTTAAAAAAATTCTAAAACTTATTCAAACCACTGGAATTCTCAAGTATGACACTTGATAATAACTACGTGGGATGATGTTGTTACATGCTGTCTCGTCACCTCTGTGTGACAAGCCTATTGTAATCACTGTGTCAGTCTAACTACTTGAGGGTCTTCATTTTCGCCCACCCCTCAGCACTCTGCTTTACCAAGCATAGTGGCCTTCTCCAAGGACTGGCCCCTTCTGATAAAATGTGCGAGAAGGTACATGAGGGACAGTCTTTCCAACTTTGTTCATCAGGAGTATGGTGTTAGTACTTCTTCTAAGACAAAACTCATTGATTCTTCTGGCAGTCTGTGTGTATTTGAAATGTTTTCCCACCGCTGTAATTCAAAGGCATCAATCCTTTGGTTTTCCTTATTCATAGTGAGAATTCCAAATGAATTGCTTAGTGACTTTGGGGAGTCATTAGCAAAAAGAGTCTCAGAAGATTGCTTGGTCCATTCAAATATATAGTGAAATCAGTAATTAGAAAAGGTAATTATAACTGGAAACATTTTTAACACAAGCAATAAGGAATAGGACTAATGGATTGCATGTTCAGATATATTTTGAAAATATTCAGATGTTTTCTTGACGACTCTAACAGATGCCAGGTTTGGAAAGAAAGATAATGAACTGATAATTTTCGATTCAGGAAGTGCTCAGGAGCCCAGGAATTAAAAAACCCCAAGGGTTGGGATTTTCTGATTTACTTGTCCACTCCAACTTAACATCTAAACTCAGTGATGGTTTGACCTTTTATTTTAGCGGTACATCATCTTGTGGGCCGACTTTAAAAGTGGATGCAGAATGACTGACAGTTGGTATGATCCCCCCACCCCCAGTTTATTGCTGTATCAATTTGAAACTAGATGACTTCATTAAAATGCTTTGCCAGTATTTTAAAGCAAAAAAAAAAAAAAAGGAAAATTTGCATTTTAGGCCTTTTATATATGCAGTGTACAATTTGCTGGGCTAGTAATGAGATAAAGATTATTTATTTTTTGTTCA